AATCTCTCTTGGTGCAACTTGAGGCCATTTCTTCTTGTCCATTTCTTCTTGATCATTTTTGTCACCTTTCCAAGGTCTAACACACCCTTCCTGGGAGTTGGAAGAGCAGAGAGAGACTCCAGTCCCAGAGTTCTTACAAAACACAGATAATCAGTCTAATCAGAAACTCAGTCAGACCATTCCAACCAAAGAGCATTTGCTGACCTCAAGAACTGTGGTCCCCAGCTCATCCGCAAAAGTCAATTATAACCTGTTTCCCTTTTCCTACCACAACTCTGGCTGCTCATGGTGACATTAGAGAGCCTCTTAAAGAAACTCTCAGATAGTTTTTTCCATTTCTCTCCAGCTCTCACCACATCCCTGCTCGGAGCTCGAACGTCCTGGGGCAGCTCAGACCCTGGGCAACACCTTGCAAGTAACGGGAACTCCTGCACAGAAGCAAATTTCTCACATTTTTAGAGGCGAGGGATTTATTATTTTTAGAATCAGTCTGAAAGCTATATTCTGTCGGCAGCAGAGGGCAGCAAAGGTCTGCCAGGGCCCGGCCCCAGACAACAAAGAGCCTGGCTGGGAAACCTGGGAAGAGAAGCTGTGTGGGAGGGCAGCAGTGGTTTTAGTGTTCTTTAAAATTCATCAGCTCGCCCTTCTGAAATTCATTAGATCCCGAAGGTGCTGCACTGCCTCTGGTTTGCCTTTGAGCAGCCCTAGTTCCTCACCATGGCCACGCAGCTGTAGCCAACACAGGCTGCAGCAGAAATAGAGCCAGGCTCTGCCTAAAACTCAGCAGCCCGGTTCTCCTCTCATAGAATCGTAAAATCGTTAAGGTGGGCAAAAACTCTAAGATCAACCATCAACCCAACACCCCCATGGCCACTAAACCACATCCCCAAGTGCCACGTCTGCACGTTTTTTGAACACCTCCAGGGATGGGGACTCCAGCCCTGCGCTGAGCAGCCTGGGCCAGTGCCTCACCACTCTTCCAGTAAAGAAATTTTTCCCAATATCCAATGTAAACCTCCCCTGGTGCAACTTAAGCCCATTCCCTCTCACCACATGCCATTGTACCAAGGCAGCCCTTATTGCACTGCAAGCTTGGAGCTGTTGATTTGAACCTAAACTGTCATCATCAAATTTTCCATCACTCTGTAAGCACAAGTCATGGGAAGCCCTTTTTTTTCCCCTCTGGATTATGGACAGGCAAGGGTGAGCTTTGTAGAGCAGGGTTAACGGTTGGACTCGATGATCCCAGAGGTCTTTTCCAACCTGAATAATTGTGTGAAATATGACAGCATCTGGAAGAAGACACCCGAATCGTGACATCACAGCAGAGGAACAGCCAACCCAGAACCATTAAGGTTAGAAAAGACCTCCAAGATCACCCAACACGCCAAGTTCAAGGCAATGTCATGATGACCCCAGGGCTGGCAAGTGGGGATGGGGAGATCAAGGGGACAGAGCCCAAAGGGAAACCCAACGGTTGTGCCTGACCTTGGTGGCAGATTTCAGCTGGTAGGGGTAGGAGCAGGGGGCTGAGCACCTGCTGAGCACCTGCTGCTCTTGGTCCTGTGGGTGAGGGGAGCTTTAACCGATGCTCCAGAGACAAGGCAGAAACAGCTGTGCTAACCATTAGTCCCACAGCAAAGGTTTTGAAGGTGAAAAAGCTGTTGGCAGCAGAAGCACCGTGTTCCTGCACTGCAAAGCATCTGGAGAAAATTGTCCAAGTAAGGCCATCGTCTTTCCTAGCCACAAGTTGTGCGACTTGCAACTACCTGAAGTAAAAGACCAAGGGAAAGCAAACAAGATCGCAGCAGAAGAGCTACGATTTCTCATTCAGTGAGCCAGGCCAACAACAAATCCACAATATTGTATGTTTTATTTAAATTAACAAAACTACATGTTTCCCAGGTTGCTTAAAGCATTCTGTAAAAACTGAACTCAACCTAAAGAAAAAAAAAAGGATATATTTTAATAAAACCCAGGGACTATTTCTGAGACATATGAGTAGGCCTTAGGAATTAAGAAATTTAAAAAAACCTCACACACACGCACACACACATACACACGTCCCGTAAACAAATTGTTAGTTTTTGACACAAAATTTGGTTTTAAAGCTGCGACTCCCCATTTGTAAGGAGCCTTTACAAAATGCAAAACGCTACACATTAAGCTGTAAAAGAAACCATGGACACATCTATCAGAACAACATAAATATCACGTAAGAACTCACCATAAAAAGGACATTAAAGTTGCAAAGTCAAGTGCCCAGCCAGGAACACACCGGAGTTACCATGATGTGCGTTTAATTAATTCACTTTGTGGTTGAACAGCTATTGCAAGTACGAACATCGCTTGGATCTACTAGTGCTTATTTTCCTAATTAAATTGCTTACAGGTTACATTTTGCCACCTGTGCTGAAGGTCTCAGACCTTGTCCTGCACTTCCTTTCAGTACAGGGGCATTGTCATCCCACTTTACTAAAAAACCCCAAGCTCAGAATAAAAGAACCCAAATGTAAGTGTTCCAGTTCAAGTATCCAAAACCACCTGAATGAAGCTACCTCCTGCAGTAGCGTGCAGCACTTCTTCTGTACCGCAGTGACTTCCCACACTCAGACATCGCAGCACCCAAGGGACTTCACCTACATGCGGTGTGCCTCAGCTCCAACCCTGCGTCCCGGCTGAGACACAGGCAGGGACAGCTGGGGATCCTGGTGAGAGTGAATGGAAGGATAAAGAGAATTGCTTTCTTTTTAAGGAAGTAGCTCCTCCTGCAGATGGGCTCTGCCCAGCACACCACGTCCTGATGGGAGACCCGGTCAAAGGAGCGCAGTGTTGGGTACCCAGCAACCGAAAGGATGTGAGGTTATCCACGCTGCCCTCTCCACAGCGCTGAACTCCAATAAATGGTATTTTAACTGCTACTTTTCAGAGCGCTGTTCTTACTGGAACTGTGGGCGGTTTCTTCAGCCCAGTCAGCAGCCCCAGCATGAAATCCTTTCTAGCGGGAGGCTGGGGAGGAGTTGGGGTGTCTCGCCGGCCCTGCATGTGACTGAGAGCTGGTCTTTGGTTCTGGCCCTGTTCCCTGATGGACTGGGAAAATAAGGAGGAATTATGTGAACGCCTCACCCCAGCTGAAGCATTGACCTGTCTCAAAGAAACGCGGAGAAAGGAAATCAAAAGGTAAGGGACGTTGGTGCTGTGTGTGGTTACTAGTGTGAAATGGCAACAGGGATAGTTGTAGCAGAACAAACAGCCCCCCTGGAGGGGGGTGCCAGGAACGGGCATTTCCCAGTACAAGCTGCTTGCTGGGGTGGGAAGTGTGATGAACCAGCACCTCCCAGTGAAAATCAGAGCCTTGGCTCCTGCCCACAGCCCCGAACCCCCCCACAGAGCAGAGCGTAACAGTAAAGCCTGGACACAACGGGCTTTAAGTGCACGTCATAAAGCACACGTCAGCTAGAGATGGATTAAGGCTTCACAGGTGATATTACTCCTGGTATGTCCCAACTACAATTTCAGTTTGAAACCTTGACACTCTAACAATTGGTGTGTACCTTCAGAGCTTTTCAGAATCCAAGGACAACGCATCCCTTTTTCCAGGACTGTTTCTAAGGGTACCCACAAAACCTACCTGTTGGCGGCTTTGGAAGCTTCCCCTCTCCCTCATCTCTGATCAGACACAGCAGTAGCAGCTGCTTATCTTTTAGGGACAAAACTGGAGTGGGGAGGTTGAGTTACGCATTACTAGCAGTTAACACTTACTAGTGACAGGTGAGGAGGCCCTCTGGATCCTCCATGCCCTAGGAGATGTGCCCCAAGCAGCACTGACATTCTGGCCACACTTCTTCCCACACACACACGCACACCATTAACACTTCTCTTAACTGGTCCCCAGCACAGTCCAGTTTACACCTCCACTCCAGATCAGGTCCCATTCTCCTCACCCTGCCAACAGCTTCCCAGCCAGAACCACCCAGGCACAGCGTGAGGGTGAGCAACCTCATCAGCTGCTTTTGCTCTGAAAAGCAAACATCCACAGGAGTGCACGACAAGCGGATTTTTTTCAAGTAATCCCTGGAAGACTCTTGCTCTACCAAGTGTGCCCCATCCTGGTAGCGCAAGGAGGAGCAGGATTGCCTGGCCCCCTCAGCCCAGCTCACAGGCACGGGAACCAAGAAGGCATCATTCCTCCCGTGGCCTTTCTCTTCTCCCCATGGCACATAAGCAGCATGAAAATGAAGAGGCTGTAACCAAGAGGCAGGATGGAGGAAGGCAACAAAAGTAAGGGAAGCCAGAGGGGCTGAAAATAGGCAGGAGCTGGCTGGGGGACCAGTGCCTCTGGGAACTCGGGACAGGAGCGCTCTTTTCTTCTGCAACTCAGCTCAGGCATCCAGTTTTTACATTCCCCTGGATTTAAGAAACAGCTGTAAAAGCTTCTGAGAAAGCATGTTGTTGCTTCTATTGAATCTTATCTATTACCGTCTGCTCCCTTCCCCGCTGTGTTTTGTTCAAGTGACAGAGGTTTGCTGCAGAGCTGCAGAATTAAAAGTTTTTACAATAAGGCTTTAGCCCCTCCCCCACAACCAACACCTTTTCCAAGTTGCACACAAGAAGAAAATCCAACGTACTGAATACGTGCTCCCTGACTGAGCTCCCTGCACCCTTTATTTTATGCACAGGCACATGACAGCCAAATAAAAACCACTCAACGTCAGCTTTGCCACTTCCCGACTTCTGAACGCGCAACTTTGCAACCTTAATGCTTTTCTAGCAGGTTTTTACGTGCTCAAGTGTAACACGATATACATATCCCTCCCACCCACCCCACCCCCAAAATAACTACGCCGTATTAAAGAGTTTACAAATGTTCTGCTTGGGGTCACTGCTCCGTGAAAAGACGCTCGGTACGGGGTGCTGGAGGAGCAGGGTAGGTCAGAGCGGTCTCTGGGCGTCGTGGTGTCCTCTGCTCTCCAACCCCGGTCTGGGTCCCAGCTGAGGCCACCTCAGAGTTACTCCTGAGCCTCCTTGCGAGCCAGCTTGTAAACCTCCGTAGGCCCGTCCACGTGGGTGATGGTGGTGGTGAGCTGAAGCTCTTCCCCACTGTTTACTCCCAGGTCACCTGAGGAACAAAGTTGTTTCATTAGCCTGGCCTCACAATAAAATATTTGGCAACTAGAAAGCAAAAAGATCCAGTTTATTCCCTTCAGGGTTTCAGGAGCTACCGGAGCTATGGACCACGCAGCATTTCTAGAAATGCTTTTATTTAAATACAAGCATCTCAGTAAAGGATGATTCCTGTGCTACTAAAGACTACTCTAAAGGAATTCAACAGCATTGCCATTCTCCACTTGCCTAGATTTTTATTTTCTCCTTTCCTCATCCCTCCATTGTGCTACAAAACTACAGCTGTGCAACGCTAAAAAGATCTGCACGTTTTTAGACAGTCTTGGCTAAATATTCAAACCCATCTAACCTAGGCATTAATTAAAATGTCTGCCAGGAAAACCAAAGTCATTTGCATACATTTCGATGTGCTGAATGTGCACTTTGGAAAAAAAAAAAAAAAAAAATAATTGCACAAAAGGTTTATAGCGCTTTCTTCCCATGGAAGCCTTCAGATCACTCCGAGGCATTTACCGTTTGACTGGTCTTCACCGTAATTCTTGTGCGATGGCGCGTAGAGGAACATCAGAGCGAAGACGTAGAGGTTCCACATCCCATAGATGCCGGTGAAGAAGGCGCTGTTCACCTGTATCGTTATGTCCCCCCACTTCCAATGGCCTTCAGTCACCTGCCCACAAGAAAGTAGACACGCACAGGCTGGTCAATATAACCAAATTCTGTAAAAATACAGAAGCGACCCCCCTAAAGCACTAACTCAGAGCAAATCAATAAGTACAGTGTCAATTCAATAGGAACAGGTAAATGGAGCATAACAGAGACAGTGATGCAGAAGCCAAGCCAGGATTTCTCTCTTTCACCTCAATCTGCAGGAAAAAACACAGTCCTTACAAAATGATTGCCTGAGATTTCTTGAACTTTGATTTATTGTTCTTAAAAGTGACACAAATTCTCACATTCTGCGATGCCTCCCTGCCGTAACTGATGCGTTCATAGCTTGCCGCGTGAAGGGCAGTAGCTAGGAGACAACTAGTTACATCTGAAAACATCACACTTGTTATAAACAGACCTTTTTAAAGACGGGAAAACCAACATGAGTAATGCGAAGAGCTAATGTTCTGAATGCTGCTCCTGCCTTCAGAAAAGCGCCCAGGCTGACAGCAGCAGCCATAGACACGCAGATTTGTCAAGATTTACAGGAATATCATCACTATTAATACTGCTTGAAGGCATACAGACTGTTTGCACTGAAATGCTGGCTTTCCATTAAAGACAACAAACGGGGAAAGACAAAAACTGAAGAAGAGCAGCTGGACAGGCCCCATTTGCCTCATATGCTTGTCTGCTGTGACGGTTGTTAACACTCGGTGACGGACTGAACGGCCAAGTGTCACTCCTCGAACCTTCGGTCTTGCAAGTTTAAGAGCAAACCCATCTGCTGCTGTATTTTGCGTGAGGACCTGCCTCCTACCACAACATGTAAGTGGTGCAGCAAGGAAGAAACTGCTCCTGCTCCCGTAATTCTGCGATATCAGACTCGCGAGGTCGTGCCCATGGCTCGATGAGCTGCCTACGGTTAGGAGCGACCAGGAATAGCATCTCTGAAGCAATCTGAAAAGTCACTTGGAGTAAATCAAAGTAGCGATGCACACTCATTTGTGCAGAGAGACTGCATCATATCGGAGAATAAACAGACGTGCCACACTGCTGGAAACAGCGGGGTTGCAAAGTCAACCCAGGCGCGACTGGGTTCTGTTCTTTCTTTGTGGCCATACAAAGTCACTGGATTCTTTCGGTGTGAACAGAGCGTTTTTCCTCTTGCTGAGTTCTCAGAAACTACTAAAGCGCGTTGGCCGGCGTTTCAAACAGCCCAGCTGCGAAGCTTGCCATGAGCCAGAGGGCTCTGTGAAGGCAAAGCTTTGGCAATTTTATGGCAGTGCTTCAAATAAATGAAAACAACTTCTTAAAAAAGCAACTTATTATCAAATCTGCTTATAACAGGCATGCCTTGTGTGAACAGCAAGCGAGTTGACGTCACTAGCAGGTCAGGAATCAGAGGAAGCGGAGTTTCATCACTCACCTGGCTCACGATGAAGAAGATGACTGTCATTGCTGCGCAAGCCAGAGTAATGAGCATCAGGAACTTGAACCTAAAAATCAGCCCCTGCTTACAGAGAAATGTCACTGGTCACATTAACAGAATCCACAAAAACCCATTTTGGGTTTTAGCCTATACAAGACACAAGTATGAAAAAGAAAAAAAAGGCAAAGAAAAAAAGGGTCCAACCCACAAAAGCCCAAAGCAAAACAACCTCCACCCACTCCTCTGCGCCGTCTTCACGCCAGCCCATATTCTCCACTCCCCACACGTCTGCATTACTGCCGGGCGC